TTCTTGTTCCTCTGTCAAATCTGATGCAATGATCACCAGAAGCGTTTGATTTTCTCCCAAAAAGGCATATTTCAAATGCTTCAGTAACAACTTCAATTCCAATGCTGGTGGTTCTTCCAATGATGGCTTTATCTTTGAATCAATTGAATCTGGGAGATCATCAAAATTATTTGACCAAGTTGACGTGCGACCATGGATAACATTCAGAAACTCTTTTTGATCTTCAATTGATTGAGATCTGTCACTGTCACAAAAAACATCCTCCAAATCATTGGTTATGTCCAGGAGCATATTTGCGGTATGCTCGTGAACACAATCCCCGATGGTGTCTATCATAAAGCAATCATTATGATCTGGAGAGTTAGCGTTCGGTCCAAAGGCTTGTAGTCTCAACTTGCGGTTGCCAAAAGTCACGTCAATTGCACCATCTCGACAACTAATTTGAGCATTTATAGTTGCTAAAAAGGGACGACCGAGAACGACATTTTGTTGTTTGTCCTTGAAGTGTTTTTCAGAGTCCATAACTATGAAGTCAACTGGGTAATAAAAATCTTCCACCTTGACTATGACATCAGGCAACATCCCCCGTGGTAATTTAAGTGACAAATCGGCCATGGACACAGTAATGTTAGTTGGTTGCAATGGGCCAAGGTCATATTTATCATATAAACTACCAGGAAGGACATTGATACTTGCTCCAAGATCAAGAAGTGCCTTTTTGATTTTTATGTTTCCAATTTCAATTGTAATTAAAGGTGCTCCAGGATCTTTTAATTTGGGTGGAAGTATTCCTGTCAAAGCGGCACTAACATGTGCTGTACCGTTTGATTTTGTTGGAATTCGGTGACGTCTCTTTTGAGTACATAAATCTTTGAGGAATTTAGCATAAGCCGAAATTTTCTTAATGGCATCGATAAGTGGGATGTTAATTTTGACTTGTCGAAAAGTTTCCCAAATATCATTATTTTTTTTAAAAACTTGTTTTTCTGGGTTTTTCAAAGCTGTTGGGTAAGGGGTGGTATTTGTCTCCACATGTCCTTCCCCAACTTTAGACAGTTCCGACTCATGCAATTTTCCTTTCAATTTATGTTCTGGTTCAATTGGTGTTTTAAGAGTCTTTTCACTTTCATTATCAGAAGATACATAATCCTCCACTAAAACCTCATCAGGATTTTTTAACGAGTTTGGTGTAGGCTTATGCACTTGATTATCATATGATTTACCACTACGTAGAATAGTTACCTCATTTAAATATGCGTTGTTGTTGGTGTTGGTGGTGGTGGTGTTGCTAGTTGAAGCTCTTGAGTGTTGAGGATTTACTTGCGTGGTGCCCGGAAGGTTGCCAGGTGGTCGCCGATTTATTTGCTCTGCTATTTGTCCCAATTGCTTCTCAAGTATTGAAATTGATTTGGAGTTAATTTCATTTTGCTTGAGACTTTCCTTCATCATGTTCATCAATTGTTCCATTTGCTTATCATGGTATGGTTCACTTGTCTTTCCATGATTTGCTTGAGAAGAAACTGGCCCATGATGTTGATTTTGACTGGATTGGCCCGAATTGTTGTTGCTGACCTTGTTGCCTTGCCAGGGGTTGAAGTTGTTGTTGTTGTTCCGCCAATTTGAACTTGAATTGTTGTTGTTCCTCCATCGGTCATTGTTGCTTTGGTTGTTGAATTGATTGTGTTGTTGTTGTGGTCTATAGAAATTTCGCCTTTCTTCATTCAAGTCAGCCTGATCACCGGAAGAATAAAAGACTTCTTCAACTTTATCATTGTTTTGAGCGAACATGTTCCCTTTTCTGCAGTCTTTAGTCTTGTGTGGTCCTTCACATAAACTGCAAACAGTTTGAACATTAGATTGAGGGTTTTGTTTAAGTTGACTGATTTCAGTTGTCAGTTTCCGCATTTAGGAAAGGACTTCAGTCAGCACTTCATCGGTTTGATGTACACTCTCAAATTTAAGTTGTTTATTTTTGTTGCCACGATATTGGACCGAATGAGCGGGACTGCCATTCATTGCCATTTCATCTATGAGTTCATAAGTTTCTTCTGGTGTTTTGTTCCTTATGGAACCTCCGGCAGCTGCATGGAGTGATTGTTGTGTATGAATGTCCAAACTATTGAAGAATGTTTGGACCTGCCTCTACATAGGTAGCTCATGATGTGGGCATCTTTGGAGTAGCTCTCGGTATCTTTCCCATGCTTCGTATAGCGATTCGTCATCTTCAGCTTGAAATGAAAGGATTTCATTGATCATCATGTTTGTCTTTGATGGTGGAAAGTACTTGGTTAGGAATTTGTCAGCCAAGTCTTCCCAAGTGGTGATGGATTCAGCGGGTAATGTTGAGAACCACCTCTTGGCACGGCCTCGTAGAGAGAAAGGAAAGAGGCGTAGTTGGATTGCATCTTCAGTTACTCCATCCATCTTGAACATGTCACAAATGTCCAAGAAACTAGTGATGTGTGTATTGAGGTCACTATCGGGTGAGCCATCGAATTGCGCACTATTTTGCACCATTTGGATCACATGCATCTTGATCTCAAAAGTTGTAGCTCCTACTTCAGGTCGTTTAATGCATGATTTGGTCCCGTCAAGTGAGGGTCGTGCAAAATCTCTCATGGTTTTTCGGTCTGTCATCTTGTCGTCGGTTTTGTTGGCTTCTTCAAAAATTAAGGCGCGGTGAGTAACACGATTTCTTCTTGCCGCTCTTTCGATTTCTGAGTTAAAAAGCAATGGAAAGGATCGTCTCGAATAACGAGTATACATGCACAACAAAAAAAAAAATACAAACGCGTAAAAGGAATTTAACAATTATAAATAAAGACTATAAGAATCAAATAAATTTTTTTATATGTATTTTTTATATTTTTTTTATATATTTTCGAAGTTATAAAAAAAATCAAATAAACAAAAAAGAAAAAAAAAATTATATTTTTTTTATATATATTTTCGAAATTATACTTAAAAATCAAAAAAAAATTGTGATTTTTTTTATTTTATATATATATTAGAAAATTATACTAAAATATATATATATATATATATATATATATATATATATATATATATATATATATATATATATATATATATATCAAATAAACAACTAGAAAGAAAATGTGAAATTTTTTTATCAAAAATTTTGTTTTTAAATTTTTTTTAAAATTTTTTTTAATTTAAAATAAAAATCAAAATAAATAACTAAATATTAAGCGCAATAGCTCCCCGGCAACGGCGCCAAAATTTGACGAGCGGTCGTTGTCGCGTCAAAAATAAACCTTATTTCCACTAATCTAGCGAGTGGTAAGTAAGGGTCGGATCCAGAGGAGCTTATGGTTAATAGTTTAGTTACTATTTTGATTTAACGATAAAGAAATAATGATTAATTTGAGATTTATAAATATGATGACAAACAAAAAATACATGATTTTAATTCAGTTAAAAAAATGATCGCTTCCGGTTTCAGAATTAATAATTATATGAATTAGAAATGAGTGTTATTAATTTTTCATAGTCGATTCAATTAAAGTCTAAGTCCAAAATAGAAAATAAGTGTAACCGCACCCTCCGTCCTACACACCGCTATTGGATGATTTGGCACGGTGGGGAGATCACTTAAAATTATTTTAAACTTGGAATAATTAATTGATAAATGAATAAAATAAGTGTAACGATTTTATAATGTTAAAAACATAAACAAAATCCACAAATAATATTCAACAAATTCAAATGTTCACACCCAAAAATAATACAATAAGTAAGAATTAAAACCTACTCCCGGTTGCGATCACGAGAGAATTTAGCCGCACATTGTAGACTTATACAAACTCATATTTGTATTCTTGAATTCTTGATGTCTTGATCTTGAATCTTGAAAAGTCTTGAATCTTTGATGGCTTGAATTCTTGGAAAAAGAAAAGAATTTGGAAGACTAAAATGCTTCCAAAAAAATATAGAAATTTCCTAAAGAAGGTGGTGGTATGAAAGTAGGTTGGTATAAAAGGTATAAGAGGGTGTGTAAGAATGTAAGAGGTGTCTTAGAGGTAAGAGGTGTCTTAGAGGTAAGAGGTGTGTTTGAAATGGTGATTTTGAGGTGGTATTTATAGTGAATTTTTGGAAAATTAAATATCAAAAAGAATGAAATAAAGCTAGGAATATTAAGCTTTTAGATTGGACCTAAGATCCAATCTAAATCTTATGAAAAAGAATTCAAAAGAATTAAAAAGATGGAATTATTTGGTTTTTGTTGGAAAGAATTTGAGTTTAAAATAGGAAAAGTGGTGAAAAAGTGGTTAAAATTGGTTGGAAAGTGTTTAAAAGATAGGAAAACCCGTAGGTTCAGCACATGGCACAAGCACTTGGAGCTGGCATCAAAACGGCGTCGTTTAGGGCCATTTTTCGCGGGTCCAGATCGGGTCCGAGTTGGGTCGAGACGCGGATCTTCTGTGAGTAGAAACGGGGCGGCAACTGGGCGGGTCGGAGCCGGATCAAAGCGGATATGGATCGGACGATGTCATCGATGACGTCACGTGCGGATAAAAGCGCGGATCCAACCCGGGTCGGAGCCGGGTTTCACTGTGAGAGCATCTGGATTGCGGGGCGGTCTCCGGATCGGGCTCGGATCTTCGGATCTGTGTCGCGAGCTTTTGGGCTTCTGGGTTTGGGCTACGGGTTTGGGCTCATTCCGAAATTTTTCCTTTTATATTTTTTTTCTTTTTGTGAATTAAATTAAATTAAATTAATTTAATTAATATAAATTTTTTAGAAATTAAATAATTAATTCCCAATAATCTATTTTAATTAAACCTCATTAATTAATTTAAATTCTTTTTATTTTTATTTTAAAAAACATGATTTTTATATATTATTTTTATTTTGATTTTATTAAAAATACATTTAATTAAATTAAATTATTTAGAAAATAATAAAATTATTATTTCCTAAATAAATCATTTTAATTAAATTATAATTATTTTAAAAATACAATTTTTCATTTTTTTATTTTGTTTTCTCGTCTTTCCAAACCCGAACATCTTCTATTCTTTTGTTTTCAATCTTGATTTCTCTTCGTGTAATTCCTTGAACTTCTTTTTGCATCTTTTTGTACCATTTTCATCATATTTACCACCTACAAACATAATTCAAATACATGTCAAAGTAGCACCATTCTTAGATAAAATCGGTTATTTTACATAAATTATAGTATATTAAGCGTGATGTAAAATATACCGATCAATGGCCCAACACTTCTATGCCTAAACCAACTCGGCATCTCCTCTGCCTCATAAATCGTGCTGAATATTCCAAATTCATAAAACATAGTCTGCCAAAAACAAACACCTTAATTAATCACCATAATAATTATGTTATACATATTTACATAAAGACGGACATATAACTACACAATACCTGGATTTTAGATTTACAAGGATTAGTTCCCACACGGACTGCGTCAAGGAAGTCTAAATTAATCCAGCCCAAGCTACATAATAACTTTTCCTCAACATCCACCATTTGTTGGACTTTGATCATACCTTCAACTTCATATGACCAACTGTGATAATCTATCCACCAGTTTGATGATAACTTTATTGGGGACATTTCCAGATCAAATACAACTTTATCTATAAAACTCTCATGGCGAGAAAAGAGCAACAACCTGCTTAATGTACGTGGAGGATGCTCAACTGACTTCAGTTTCTTACAGTCTTGCATACTAAGTATCTTAAGTCTAGGAAGAGTTCTCACAAAACTGGTCGTTGAATGGATAGGATTCCTATCTAAATATAATTCCTTCAACATAGATAAACAACTGAAGTCCATGGGAAATATTTTAGTGGATAAATTGTTATTTGCAAGTGATAACCTTACTAAAGACATCGGTAAAGAAATTGCAAACTACTCCATATCACTTGGTATAGCACCCACAAAGGAAGAGGAAGTGGTTCTTGTATTTATATCAATGTTGTTAACCATGCACAATTCCAGTGAATCCGTATCCCTATTCTGGATTCGAGATTCACCAAGACTACAACCATCAAGCAACATTGTTTTAACATTCTTCAACATATCCATATCACTATTCTAGATTCGAGATTCACCAAGACTACAACCATCTAGCAACATTGTTTTAACATTCTTCAACATGCTTATATTTCTTGGAAGTTTTTCAAGCTTCTTACAGTAGCTCAAATCGATGAAGACAAGTTCAACACATTGCTCAATTGATTCACAAACCTCAACCAAATCAATGCAATTTCTAACTATTAACCTCTCAAGTGTTGGAAGTTGGTCAAATTCACCAAGACTACGAAGTCGGTAAAAGAAACTTAAATTAAGAATCTATAGTGATCCAAGCAACCTTTTCTCTTTTAAGCACGATCCATCCAACTGCATAGATGGAAATAAGTTAGAATAGTACTGAAATTCATCAACTCAACTCAACATGGAAGAATGATAAATGAAATAAGTAACTTTTTTTCCATTTCTCAAGTCGTTGTGGATTACTATACAACAACAACAATAACATTACCCCGATCCCATACAAATAGGGAAAGGGGGAGGTAGGATGGTTGGCAGCCCACAACAAAGAGTTGAGAAACTGCTTTCGTAGGATACCTCCGACAAAGAGGAAATAAAAAAGCATATGCAAACAAATTAATAAAAGTAAACTTTTTGAAATAGCGCCCACATTAAATCGTTGTGGATTACTATAACAACCAACAAAAGACTCAATATTGATGTATGACAGGTCAAGAGCAACAAGATTTTGTATAGGTAAGTTTAAAGGTAAAGACCGTAAAGGGTACCCATGCATACACATCCATCTTATTTCTATTGGAAAATTCTCATAAGACCCATTCATATGCACATAATTGAGTTGTAGTATCCTTAACATATCCATGTTGTTGAATGCATCTGTTTTCAACTCAAATGATGCACACAACTTCTCCTTCTCAAGCATCCGCATGTCAAAGGTAAGGCCTAAAAGATTTCCCTTACCCTAAGAAAAAACCAATGGCAAAAATAAAAATTAGACAATAAAAATTAGTTTGAAACATGCACACTTATGGCATGTATACACAGACTCTTACCTTTTTTTGTTTCAACACTCTGAATGACTCCTTATGAGACCATATTCGACTTCGCTTCCATGGCTTGTCAGGTGATTCTTGACGTACTTCAAATCTTCCCATCTCTTGAACCAACTGATGCATCTTCAATTCATTATTCCATCCTATACTAAGAAGGCATCTGTCAATGAGATTTGTGATCCCAGATCTTGTGTTTATATCACATGCCTCTAATATTGTTTCAGTAAAATCTCTTTCTATTCCAACAAAAAAACAAGAAATATGTTTAAACAACTCCTTATCATTTTTTGATGGCAAGGAATCGAAGCTCATTTTCAAGACATTATTAATAGGGAACTACTTTCTTTCTTTAACCCTTCGATGCACCCTTCCTAATAAGCTAGATCTCGATTATGTAGAGACTTGCCCAAAACTTCGAGAGCCAATGGATGTCCTTCACAATACTTAACAAGCTTATCAGACACCTCTCCATATCCCGCTTTGGGTTGGTTGCACATGAATGCATGGGAACACAAAAGTTGTTGTGATGCAATATTTCTTAAACCTTGAAGTAAATGCCTTTCATGACTGGGTTTAATGTTTGTTTCAAATAAAGAACAACTCTCAGTCAACCAACTGTCCTTTGTTGTAATTATAATTTTTCTTCTAGAATGAAAGCCTTTGCTACCAAGTAATGCATCCAACTGAACAAGAGTACTGATATCATCAAGAACTAGAAGAATTCTTTTACGGGATAGGGCATTCTCTATCTTTGCGGTGTATACTGAAACATCATGAAATTTAATCGGTCTTGTTTTTGAAATGTCACTATACGGTTGTTCTTGTAAATCAAGCAACTCATTAAAATTTCCATCACATATCCTACTAATATCTACAATACAACTGCTTGTGTGGAATTCATGAGCATATAGCCCATAGACATGTTTGGCTAAAGATGTCTTCCCGATCCCACCTAGACCATAAATAGTAAGTATAAATAGTAAGTATGTCTGTTGTATGTGATGATCCATCTTGCAACCATGAAGTTAGAAAGTTAATGGAATAGTCCATCCCAATAAGCAGTGGTCGAGCAATCCTTAAGTGTACATGTAATCTACGGTGGATGTCCTTCACAATTTCTTCAATAAACTCCGTCTCTAACCTGAAACTTGATTATATAAGAACTTCAAAACACAATCTACAAAAATAATTTGGAGATTTAATTTATTCAAAGATCCAAACTAAGATTATATTATAGTTGTTATTATTAATCGTGTTCTCACATCAAAACCATATTGTGGTTTGCATCAATATGAACAAAATGCCATGAAATATAGGATTTCACTAATGAATAAGGTCATAAATATTTGCTTATGATAAGACCAAAGCAGCGAACGAAATACAAGATTTCACTAATAGGCCACCAAACTTCACTATGTTTCTACAACACCATCAAACTTAACAATCGATGTGGTTTTACATGGATTTGAAGCGATATCCTGGGTCCCTCAATGATTCTATTTTGACTTATGTGTCGGGCCCGGTCAGAACTAAATTGATGTGTTCAGTTATGTTCTATGTCAGAGGAATCGGAAATCGGGAAACAAACTGTAGGACAATAAGTATGACTATGTTCCATGTATTTGTCCGCATAGATATCTTGAAAACAGAGGAATATATGATCCCTTATCTAAAGGACGCGTCACTGTATGGGTCAGAGTTCGACATCGGCTTTTTGAGAGCTACGAATTTTGAAGTTGCATTGGCAATTATAGTTATTAGACTTATCCAAGTGGGAGACTTATCCAAGTGGGAGACTGTTGGATCATGTGTCTAAGCCCATAACTATAATTGGAATGTACTCGACCCGATTGTAGCATTGTTCTTTTAGGTTGCCTTCACCGGTACAATTTGATAGGATGGACTTTTAAGAATAAGGTTATTTGTGATTTATTAATATATTATAAGTATAATATATTAATTGAGAAATGATGTTATTTAATTAGTATTGATCATGAATTAATTTGGAATTAATTTTGTGATCAAAAGAGACTAATTAAATATATGGAGATTGATTATGTAAATCAATCATTCCTATAGTGTGGGCCAATGATCCATGGTTAGTTAGGATGGGCTAAACCAATATGATAGTTCATGGAGGTTTAACCCATGGAGCCTAAGTAATATGAAAGGTCATGGAGCATTAGGGTTTGCATGGATGTAACCCTATCATTTTTTACACTATAAAAGGATTCCCCTAGTGCCAAAATCGGCTACACCTATCACTCTAAGAGTTTGATATTGATTTTGTGCTAAGTAACTTATTCTCTCAAGCCTCCTCTTGCATTTGGTGTTTGTGTCACATTAGAGGCATCACACTTGAGGTGCTAAGCTTTCAAAGTACAAGAACTAGTTTTTTATGTTGTATATATTCACTTGTATGCTAGTTAGGATGTATGCTTTGGAAAATTGAAAATGCATGTATAATTAGAGAAAACATAGATCCAAAGCATCTAGGGTTGCATGTGCACCATAGGAGTGTTATAGTGCTCAAAAACCAACATCCTTCATGTGTCATGTGCTGCCAAGGAAATGGTACCAATCATTTTGGAAAATAACTATGTTCCTGATAGTTCTTTATGTGAATATCCATTTATAAATTTAGGGGCTGTTTGGTAATATTTGAATGATTTAGGCTTGAATAGTTACGAGGTGAATGGTTAAGACGTTGGATGATTTATGTTATTTGGTAAAGTTGTTTAATGAGAAAAAATTCCCATTTCAAATTTGTTTATAAATTAAAATTTCATCTCACTGTTTACCAACCAAAGATGTGACATGGATTAATTCCTTCGAATTCTAAATCTAATTAATGAATCTTAATTTCTTTAACAATTTCAAATTCCATCCAAAATAATCATGAACGAAGCCTACTTAATTTTTAAGAGGTACAACATAAATGAATATCATGTACAACATTGTTGAGGGAGTCAAAGGATCGACAACACTCTCACCTCACTCTGGTATCATATATTTCTCCACGATCCCACACCGCTTCAATTAATTCTTATTTCTCCCTGAATTGCGTCCCCCAATTTCCAATTTCATATGGCAGTGTTCAAGGGCTAGAAACACAATCAAACTCGATTCCTGGTTGCTGGTGGTGATCAAGGCTAATGCTTCATATTGCGCTCAGTTGCTCCACCTCTTCTCACCCTGCCCTCATCAGGTACACTTATTGTTTCTAATGGATCATCTTTTTGTGGTATCTTTATTAGACATTAATGTGAGGTGTTCGTTGGCATTCTTAAAATCACCCGTCCAATATTTCAAGAAAATTGGAAATTAGTCACTAACATCTACAAACCAACGGTCAGTGTTCATTTTTCATGGTTATATAGATCCTGTAGTTCCATGATCATCCTCAATTTCTTATTCCATCGGTAGATATAATAGAGCTTCAAAGAAATCGTTCAAGTTATACATTGTCTTCGCTTTCGTTTATTTCATTATTATTATGATTATGTTTTTCGAGTTTTTTGCAAAAAGGGGGCAGTTTTGATAAAGCTTTGTAGAAATGGAGCTCTTTTAATTGTGTTTGTAGAAATGGGGTTCCTGGCCCACTAACTCAATATGTAAATATATATATATTGAAAGAAAAGATCTCCAAAACTTATAACATTGGTCCTTTGTCTTTTAAAATATGTTAAAATGTTATCCTTTTATATTCTTTTCTACATTTACCTAATTTATATAATATCAACACTTATAATCCGTTATAACTTACAACATTGGTCCCTGTCTTATAAAAATATGTTATAATTATAACCTTTTGTAAAAATATGTTATTACTACATCTTATTAAATTTACGTAAATTTTAAATTTACAAAATCGTTCATAAAATTATTCAACATTGACCCTTATTTTATGAAATATGTTACTACTAAATCCTACTATATTTTTTTATCTGTACTTTGTACATATACTTAATTTTAATAATATTTAGCATAAATATATTATTTAATTTATTACTAACGCTTATTAGTTTTCAATACCATATATATCTCATTTATACATTTCCATTAATACTAATATTTAATATTGTAATAATAAGAAATAAGAAAACACATAAATGATATTATATTACTTAAATTTAGAAATCATAGTACAAAATCACACAAGAAAACACTAGATCAACTAAACATGAAATTACAACACAATCAACTAAAAACATAGTTTACTACTCATTGAATCTTGGTTGAGAATTTGAACAATTTCTTCTATTATGACCTGGTTGGTGGCATAGTGTACATCTGTGAGGTTCATAAGGATGACTAATGTTCATCTCATTACAAATTCGGTTTGCACGCCTTCATCCTCGATGAACAGAAAGTTTTGAGTAATCTGCTTCAATCGTCCATTTTGAATCCAACCAAGTCTTCCTCAATATGGCTTAATAACCCACTGTTGGATTTTGAGTTGGGATCATCAAATCCAAACTCATTATTTGGCTCAAATCTATCATGGCTCGACAAAGGAAATGGTACTTCAAAATTACGAAGGAGATCTACCAAACTAGTATTTGTAGGTGGTACTATTTCATTAATGTAATGCCCCGATTCTCAGGTATTGTTTAAATAATACTTCTTGGTTTAAGACCTACTCGATGAGTTGGTTTCCCTGATCGTCGAGTAGCAGCGGGGTGGGATCGCGTGTTAAGTGACCTACTCGACGAGTCCATAGTGGGGGCTCGGCGAGTAGGAGCTGGCAGTTGAAACCCTAAATCCCGAGGTTTGCACCCCTATTTAAAGGAACCTTAGCCTTCCTTGGGCCTCTTTAAAGTCTTAGAGAGTCCCTGAGAGCCCTTATTCATGTGTGTGTGTGTGTGAAGCTTGAAAAGAGGATCTTTGGAGGGAGAAGGCGTGGAGGAAAAGGAGATTGGAGCAAGTAGAGTGTGGGAATCAACACTTATCTCAGTTATCATCTTCCAGAGGTACCCAAATCGCCATTTCTCTTGTAGATCTTTTCTATTGGTTGAATTTTAGGGTTTTTATGGATTTTGAGGTTGATAAGTTGAGCTATGGGCTAGATCTGAAGTTGTAACTTCATATCTGGACCCTCCTTGAGTTCTAGCATCATAAAGTTACAGACTTGGTCATGTATGAGGTCCCTCTTGAGCATGAAGCTCCATTAAGAACTTAAAATAGGCATTAAGAGCCTTTGTAGCCATGCATGCATGTAAAGTTTGTAACTTTACGTGCAAAGTATGCCTTAGAAGCTTGGATCTGTGATTTGGAGCCGCTGCATGGTTCAAAATTGGTCTGTATGGAAAAAGGACTAAATGGACTCGGCGAGTCGCATGGTCGACTCGGTGAGTCGTATGAAGATGGCCAGGAACTCGACGAGTTGGATGAACAACTCAGCGACTCCGATGAAGATTTCCTTAAACTTGACGAGTTGTGTGAAAAACTCGATGAGTCGGATGAAGTTTCCCCAAGATGTATATGCATGTATATCCGTCGAGTTTCGCATGGGAGAGCGGCTTTAGAGTTCGATCGAAAACTGAGGAAACTCGACGAGTCACTTGATGACTCGGCGAGTGGACAAGTACTTCAAGGGACTCGGTGAGTAGCCGAGGGAACACGGAGAGTCAGGGTCAACATGGACTGTTGACCTTGACTGAGGACTTTGACTTTGACCAAAGGGAGATTAGTTGACTTATGGGTTACCTTGAAAGGTTGGGGAACTTATGGTGTGAATATGTTGTGATAATAGGTGGTGGAGTTTTTGGCAGTATGATATGATATATGTGATTATATCGAAAGGGTCTAAGGCACCAAGGCCGGCCCTTAGTTACTATGGTTATGATATGATATATGTGATTATGATCCGATTGATGGGGTTCAGAATAGAAAGTATGATATGATTTTATGATCCTTAGGGATTGGTATGTTAGTTGTGACAACCTGAAATTTATTTCCGTCGCGATAACCCTTTTTCCGCTAATAAAACGCGTTTTATTAAATTGTT